TTCAGACACACGAGCTCATTGTAGGGTTGCCAGAAGTCCATTATACATCATTCCATTTGTAGATGAGGGAACTAAGAGAATTCAAGTTCATGAATAGGAAGTAGAATTCAAACTCAAGTTATCTGGGACTTATCCTGGGTTCTTTTCACTAGGCCATGAAATGCTGTAGAGAATTTGGTAAAAATAAAAGCCAAAGTCCTTATAATGGCCTGCCAGGTTCTAGTGATTTTTCAATCGGCCTTTACCTCTCTGACCTTATTGCCTGCTATTCACCCCTCGAACACTCACCCCTCGCACACTCCCATACAGCTCACGGTTGTCCTTGTTGTTCTGCAAACATGCCAGACGTTATTTTTCCCAGGGACTTTGCACTCATTTCTTTCTCCTCAAATGTTCTTCCCTAAAATTCTCTCACCTCCTTTAAGTCTTTCTTCTACTTTCTGCTAAATAGATTCTACTGCCACCCTCCTATTTTATACTACAACATGCTTTATCACCTTTAAGCATACTATATAACAAACCAGTGTATAATAAATACTGTACTTTGTGTGGTTTTTACCAATTTTTCTCATGATGTATTCCAAGCACCTAGAACAATGTCTGGCACATAATTAGAACTCCATAAAATATTAATTGATCCCATGAGCTTTGAGAAAGCTCCCGTTGTATGCTTGGAACAGAAAACAGGCTGCGATGGTTTCCACCTCGAATGCTGGTGAGGGACGGGAAGGAGAGGTGGAGAAGATAGGCCACTCTCTTTGAAAAGTTTGGTGGTGAAGAAAGGAGATTAGAGAGTGGCTAATGAGGCAGAGCAGAGTCAAGCAGAAGTTTGATCTTATCCTGTAAGATGAGGAAGACCTGAACATGCTTGTATGTTTAAGGAATCTGTGTAGAAGACCAGGCTAAAAATTCAAGTCAGAAGGTTGAATATGGAGGGAGGAAAATTATAGAATTAGCAATGTGGAAAAAAAACAAAACAAAAAACAAACAAATAAAAAAACACCCACAAACAAACAAAAAACTAAGAGTTCTAACCACCATAAAAATCCAAAGCAAAAGCAGATGGCATCAGGGCATGCTGCTTCTGACAATTTGAACTCCATGTTGAGGACATTATAGCTATGAAAACATTCAGCCAGAGGCTGTGTTGCTGCCTTTAAGCACCAGGCAACATATGAGATATTAAAAGTAGGAGAGAAATCCAACAGAGAAACCAGAATAATACAGCACATCATTTAGACAGGTCTTCTGAAAATTAGAGTAGAGAAATGGTACTCACCCCAGGATCCACAAACAAGATGCCCTATGAATATAGCAGGACACATTCCTGTGTAGTGTGTAGGGTTGCAATAGGCTCGGTGGGAAGTGCAATATGCTTTACTAATAGGCCTTCAGATTTTTCTCTCAAAGTTCACACTTCTACTCACTTCTTTATGATGATCTCATCGATACTTGCTGATCTGAGGATAATGTCCTTCAATTATAATTGAAGGTCATATGAGAAGCCTTCTTCCCTGGTCACGTGGTAGTCAGAGCCCATCCCTTGGAACCCCGAGAAAGTGTGTCCCTCATTAGGAGGATTTGGTGGCAGGAAGCCTGTGGACAATATCTTGTGGTGCAGGATGCCACTGCAGGAAGTGCAGTTCCCTTGATCTCTGGAGTCATTTGCCAGACTTTCTATAGTCTATGCCTAGTTCATACAATTTTTCTCTTTGGATATTGTTTCAACTTCTTTTGGGCATGTGGGACTTTTTGAAAATTGTGACCTTGATTAAAAAAAAATCAATATACAGGTAATGTGTCATAGAATTGTATACTTGAAAGCTATGTAATGTTATTAACCAATGTAACCCCAATAAATTTAATAAAAATATATAGAATTTACAATAAAAAGTAACTCTACTGACACCATGTCAACAAAAAAATAAAAAACAAATTGAATCTTTTGGGGTCTGTCAGTCATCCATAAAGAGATAAAGTAATTGCATACCTTTATTGAGCACAATCAATGCCTGTCAGGCCATGTTTATCGCTTTTCTTGGATTATCTAGTTTCATGCTCAAACAGCCCCATGAAGTATGGATCATTGTCATCTTCATTTTGTAGGTGAAAAAACTAAGGCTTAGACACATTCAGTAATTCAAACATTGCAATTAGTTGGCTAGTATAGAACCAGCAGTTTGATGTTGGTGCCCACACCCTCAACAGGACACTAACTTCTTATTATGACCTTTAGAAGTCTTACTTCTTTGGCATGAAACAGAAAGCAGACCTACTCTCCGTTTATGTTTGACCAGAGAGATGTTTATTTTCACCCTTGAACTACTAGTGAGAGTCGCTCCATGTAAATCTCCAAACAGCTAATTTGAAAAGAAGTGTTCTTTGTGTGGATATATTTCTAATTTTAGCATCACCTGTTTATTAGTGGATTGTATAAGAGCTTTGATATTCTGGTTTAAGCTTTTGGAATGATCTTACAGGGAAGGATATTAACACTTGTGATCTCAGTAAGAATAACACTTGGCTGTGAATAATCATTTTGTGCTTGATATCAGAGGAATTTGGGGTTTCTGGTATATATATATATATATAT